AAAAAAAAAAAAAAAAAAAAAAAAAAAAAAAAAAAAAGACATCATTAAGAAATTAAATCCATAGACCGATAGAAAATATTTGCAAATCATATATCTGATAAAGGACTCATATCTAGCATATACAAAGAACTCTTACAATTCAATAAGAAGATAAATACCACAATGGGCAAAAGTTTTAAAATAAACATTTCACCAAAGAAGATAAATGAATGGTTGATAAGTATATTTAAAAAATACTCAACATCATTACTCATTAGGAAAATGCAAATTAAAACCACAATGAATACTTCACACCCACTAGAATGGCTATAATCAGAAAGAGAGACAATAACAATTATTAGGACCATGTGGAGAAACTGGAACCCTCTTTCTTTGCTGGTAAGAATGTAAAATGGTACTGCCACTTTGGAGAAGTTTGGCAGTTTTTCTTAGTTAAATTTACCGTACTAAGTCAGCATTGTTTATACTTAACAAAAACTGGAAACAATTCAAATGTCCACAGACTGGTGAATGGATAAACAAAATGTGGTATATCCACACAAAGGAATACTGTTCAGCAATAAAAGGAACTACTGATATATGCTACAACACGGATAATCCTTGAAAACATTACGCCAAATAAAAGAAGTCAGATACAAAATACTACCTGACTCTATTTATATGAAATGTTCAGAAAAGACAAATCTATAGAGACAGAAAACAGACTGGAGGCTATGTGGAGCTAGGGATGGGAGTTGGGATAGACCACAAATAGGTAAAAGGATCTTTTTCTAGGACTATAGAAATGTTCTAAAACAAGGTCGTGGTATAAAACTTTATATACTTATCAAAAGCATGAAATCACACACTTAAAGTGAGTGAATTTTATACTATATAAATGATACCTCAATAAAGCTATTTTTAAAAAGTGGCCAAGAAGTTACAAAAACAATAACAACACAATAAATATGGTGAGTACTTCTCTTACCTCTGCTGGATATACTGGGCATAATCTGAGGAATCATATTATTGCTTGTATCCATAGGCTGGGAATTATCTTGACCCATCTGATCATCTGGTGGCATATAGGCAGGAGGAGGTGTATCAGCTAAGAGGAAGAAAATGAGACAAGTTAAAGTCCCCCCAAAATAGTTAAAATCTTCATCCTCCTCAAAGTTATTACTCTAAGAGCATTAAAAAATTCACAAGATTAACAACAGAGTTCATTACTGAACATCACACACACAAAAATGCAGGACACTATCCCAGAGTAAGGGAAAAGGAAGAAAGACAGCACACCTAAGAGCTACTGAAAACCTACTATGATCCCACATTTATTTAGCCCATATCCCTGGTAATCCAAGACACTTGGATCATTGCTAAAATTCACTAAAAGAGAATTCAAGGTCAAGAATTTTGCCTTTCTTTGTTTAGAATCATATGCTTAGAGAAACTACAGCCACTGCAAATCAATCTGAAGGACACAGATTATCCTAGTTAAGGTATACATACTACAGAGACACCTTTAAATTATCAGGATCATCACATACTGTACAATGTCACTTAAAACTTGAAAATATAACTATGCCATCAATACTAACAGCCATTACCTAATTATTCTGCAATGTTCAAAAATGGCTGTTGTGTCCTATTAAAGGGCTAGGTAATTTGCTTAAGAAACTGAATGTTAGCCAGAAAATCTTTTAAGTTCTAATCCTCACAGCTAAAAATCTTTGCAAAAGCTAGTTACATTTCTCTGTGTCAGTAATTATAAATACTGAATATAATTTGTCTTTCACCCCAAGGTTTGTACAAGATGTATTTTGAAATAGAGCTACAATCAGCACTGAATCTAAGACAAAGTCTAAAAATTTGTTTTTGAGCAAATTCCTAAAAGTAAGTTAAACAGTTGGCATTTAATTCTCTTTCAAAAAAACAAACCTGCAACAATTGATATTTTGCTGCAGTACAGAAATCACAAAAAAGATATTTATACATGACTGCCTGACAATAGTAGGTGCTCACATATTTCTTGACAGAGTGGTATAATGATGTGTCCACATGTAACACACCCTTAACAAAACTTAGGAACTTTATAAAATCTACTCATTATCTTTCTTCAGTCAAATCAGTTCATCAGTTATCTCATTAAAGATAACCAGGACTCATTTTAAACTTTCACAGTCTAAAATGATTTGAAAAGCAATGTAGTACAGTTTAAAGAGCATAGACTTTAGAGTCAGACAACCTGGGTCATTTATTAGCTGTGAAACCTTTAGGCAAGGTACTTAAACATTTGGGGTTAATATCAATTTATTTTTCCATCTGTGTTGTTCTGAAGATTAAATTTAATAACTTTCATCACAATATCAGTTAAATAAAAGATACTTATTAAATGGTACTTAGTATTGTAAATTACATGAAAATATCTAACTTTAAGCCAAATATGACTACTTCCATTATTTAAACACATGTTACTTGGCAAAATAAAATCAAAACTCTTCTAGAAATTGAATATAGAGTCAGAAATAGCTCTTGGCTGATTTTCAGGGATTATTATTACTACTTTTTTTCCCCCAATAAAATAAAGTCTTACCTGGGAGCTGAAATGGACTTCCTGGTCCAGAACTTGCCGGGGAGTTAGGATATGTGCTGCTAGCAGGGGAAGGGGGATAGGGGCTATTTGGAGATAAGGGAAAAGGAGTATTGTTGGGCTGGTGGAAAGAATCCGGAAACGTGGCATTTTGTGGCATGTGCGGTTCATTGTGGCTCAGGTTCCTAAACTGAACCAGAAGGCTGTGTTGTGGATTGAATTCATTATGACGAGGCACTAATACTGGAGGTAAGACTGAAAGACAAAAATAAAATGTCATCTGTTAGGAACAACTAAAGTAAATGTCCAATCCACATTAAGGAGTTGAAAGAATTCATGTAAGACTGTAAACGTATTAAAACAATTTGCTTTTAGGAAGAGCTATTTTGTAGAACCTGAATCTACATTTACATAACTAAAACAAAAATTCTGTAAGCACGTAACCTGTATAAGGTACTAATTGAAGACAGAAAATCCAGAAAAAATACCACTCCTGTTGTACGAGAGATAAGGCATATTTAAAAAAACACCAATACAGAGAATTTAATATAACAGGAGTTTAGCAAAGGTGAGTACTCCCAGCTAGCAAGGAATCAAAATATTGTGGTAAAGACGAGACCTGATTGAACCTTATGGAACAAGGAGGATTTCACATAGGAGTGCTAGGGGTGGAGAGATGTAGCGGAAGGAGATGGGGGTACTCCAGGCAGACGGGATGAGAAAAGATAGTCAGGTGGCCTCGGCAATGAACTAAGAGGTAAGGTGAAATTGAGGTCACTTACATGGATGCCCTGAAAAACCTCCACACTTCCAATTTTGAGTACTTCCAGTTTTTTAGTTTGAGAGAGCTCACATGTTATGTTCTTCACTAAGGTTTTCCCTATATACTATAGGAAAATAGTAAAATTTCCTAGGTAGGATTCTTCCATTCAAAATCAGTCTTTGAAATATGACCATAATGAAAATATATACAACAAAATCTAAACATTTCAACAAATACATTTTTTAAGATAAACTTTCACCTTACTCAAATGTTCACCTTCTCTAAAGACCCAAATGATCAATCACATTCAAATATCTGATTACCTTTTGCTACAAGAAACTGAAACAAACCTGACTCTTCAAAGTTTTACTAAACCAATTCATCTCTTTTACAACTTTCCTACATTTGTCAATGCAATTTCACTTTGGAAAATCTCGCTTTAATTATGGTATCATTCAGTACCAACAAAATTAGTTTGTTCTTGAGTTAAGTAGGTCATATCTCCCCTTCCTGAAGCAGGGATGTACACAACAAATCAGAGACTCTATAAGTCAATATTTGCACTGTTTGTATTTTGTTTCTTTTCATTTTACTGTATTAGTGTTGTAAATATGTGGTTAACATCTGACTACAATTGTTTTGTTCTATTGTGTATTAACTACTATATCCCTTACAGAATGATGAGGCAGCTGCCCTTAGAGAGTAGGGCATTAGACAACAACAATTTCTATGTTTAGTTGGCTAGCAATCTGAAAGACTTAGTGAAATAACTACTTAAAAACCCAGTCCAGCAAGAAGTTTTTTACTTTTTTTTTTAAGAGACATAGTTAAAATCACCGTCTTCTCTCTTACTTGTATATTATTTATACATGACTTTTAGAAATTATTGTATTTTCATCCAAAATAATATGTGAATAGTTTTAAAAAGACAGATGCTATAAGAGTTTATAACAAAAACAGAAATTTCTAGCCCCCTTCCATACTGCTTTCATAGACAACTCTTAGCCATTTCTTCTAACATTTCCTTTGCACAATGCCAAATAATATTGCTTATATTGCTATTATTGACCTGTCAAGACCTTATTTGTAGTCTTGCTCTTGTGGCAAATAAGGCATATTATTCTCATATTTCTCATTTTATTCTATCCCACTTCCATTCCCCTCTCCACAATGTTACATAAAAAATTTTGGCTAAATCAGTATATAGTATTCATATTACATATAACATTATTCATTGCTCAGCCAAGTATACAGTTATATATATTTTTAAACAATGCTTTGATTAAAGTTAACTATTGCTTTAAAGAAAATTAATAATTTAACCCAAAAAAGGTCAGCTTATCACTGTATAATATCTGTTGGCTTCTGTAATACTTTAAGCCTATTAGTTAAGGAACCTGCTCCAGGCAAACTACCGTTCCACACCATTAAGAAGCTCTTGGTGATGATGACAAGAGGAAGGGATGTGCAGTGTTAGTCCACTGATAAGAGTGGGTAAGATCCCCTGTAGATCGCTACACTGCCAAGTACAGATAATGAGCAGCTAATGAAATTGCAAGAATAATGTTTGGAAAAAGGATATCAGTAACCAAAGATGGTTTCTTTCTTGTGCCGTAATAACTTCGTATAGCATACATTATAGGCAACACTGAGGGTTGCAATCCATTGCCGGACATGGAAAAAGACAAAAAAAAAAAAAAAAAGTTAACTATTGCCTTGGATCCTTCATTTGCTTAATTTTAAGTTCAAACCACTAATATTTTCAGAATTCTAACAGATCTGTCAAATGCCATCAGTATTATTTTTCAGATGCCACAAATTATCAAAAAATTCATTGATTGCATGTTTTTCCCTGGATCTTCCATCCTTTTGCTCCAACCTAGACTGGTTGCTACTTATGTCTCCTATAAATTTGAAGTCCTCAGACTTCTCTTTCCTTCTTTCCTGTTGGATTCCATTTCCTGGATCTCATCCTCTATTAGCATCCTAAGAAAGGGTAAAGGAAGATAAAATTTTCTGATTCCTTGCATGTATGAAAATACTTTGTTTTCTGTTTGTCTGCAGGCAGAATTTCAGACAACTTTTTCCCTCTGAATTTTGAGGTCACTGCTTCATTTTCTTCTAGAATCCAGAACTGCATTGGGTTATCCAATACTCTGATTGCCAGTCCTTTGTATGTGCCCTGTCTTTTCTCTAGCAGCTTTCAGAATTTTTTATCCATGATATACTAAAATTTCATATGTGGGTCTTTTTCTATCCCTTGTTCTGATTAAGTAGTCACTAGGCCTCTTCAATTTTCAGTCCTGGAAATTGCTCTAATAGTGTTTCTTGGAAAATTTTCCCTCTGTCATTTTCCCTTATGCTCTATTTCCAGAATGCATTATTCTATTAGAATTGATATTTAATTTGAAACTGATTTGGGGCTAGTGTTTTAATTTAAGCACTTTTTCATGCATTGACTCATCTAATCCTTGTAACAACCTTATGAGGTAGGTATTATTATTTCCATTTTACAAATTAGAAAACTAAATCAATGAAAGATTAAGCAACTTGCCTGAGGTCACACTGATAGTATGTAGTAAAACCAGTATTCAAATCCAGAAAGTCTGTCTCCAGAACCACAGTCTTTTTTTTTTTTTTTTTTTTTTTTTTTTTTTTTTTTTTTTTTT